TTCAGATTTATTTCATTTTTTTCTATCTAAAAATGCAAACAATAAATGCATTTACGCGCACACGATAATTACGATTCTAGATGCAATTGCAGCACACGGTGTATTAGTTGCACGTGATTACGCCACATCGTTACTCGCTCGAGTATCAAGCAAAATTCCATCCCTTACAACACACAATGTCTTGATGAAAATTTCTATATAGAAAATTATCAATTCCTATATTTTGTCTGACTTTTTTTATGTGACATGATAACAGTTGTATTTAATCTGTTAATTGCTTAAGAAAATAAAATTATCGATTATTCAAAATTAAATTTACTTTTTAGAGACATTTTATAACAACTTCTTGTTTTAAGAAAATTGTGTTTCCACCATTATATTATTTATATTAAAACATAATAAATATATACACAATAAGTTACAAAAATAATACATTTTTTATTTTATAGATCCTGATATGTATTTAATTATTTCTAATTATATCTAAATATTTGATCTTCAATATTTTATTTGTTTATTTATTTCTGATATATATATATGTATAAATTTACATAAAATATAATAACTCAGCAAATAAGTATGACACACATACAGTGGATTACGTTAAAAAATTACACTCGACAAGCACGTTCTCGCAAATCACAAGTTTCTGCAACTCACATTTGCACTGTTTAAGCATCACAAATTTTGCAAATTACAGAAATAAAATGTTTCACAATGTCAATTATTGCGTACAAGGACAGTAACTATGTTTTCACATATGTTGAATTCGCATTAATTTTTTATCTCGAACAGACGTGTTTAGTGAGATAGTCAGTAGAAAAAAAATTATGCAAAAATTGTCAACATAGGCATTTTTACCTGCTGCCTCCACACCTTCGCGGAGCGATAAAAAAAGAAAATATACCGACCCAATCATGTTGCACAGACGAACGTAACTCAGCGAGCATGACAGAGCGGCCAGCCTTGACTAAACGTTTCTCTAAGCCGATCGTTTCTCTTATAAGAGCAACGATTTCGTTTCTATCTATTCATCCCCACTCGTTCGTGCGGAAGTCAAAACGAAAGAGCGTCTGATTATTGTCTTTTTTTCAAGTTAATATTTTTCATTCTCGTTTTAAAGAAACTATTGCAGACAATTATATTATTTGAATTTTACAATTTTATCGAAAATTATTATGATTAACTTAAAAACGGAATATGATGTCTGCAATTAAGAAAAAAGATACTGTGACGAGTTTAAAAAATCGATTTTTTTACATTTTTATAATGCTTGGAGTTTTAAAAATATGTCTCTAAAATATTCATTGAAATTCGCAACAAAAATTATAATAAATATGTGATTTTCCCTTAAGCATATGTGAGAAATCTTGTAAAAAATGTATGTCAAATGCATCTGTTCCATATTATTTTCCATATTATAAATATAATAAATTACATAATAATATGATGACAA